TTTTGAGGATTTTAGGTCTTCCCCCACTTCCCCCTTCCTCCTGTATGGATGAACATAAGTGTAAATATCACTGCTGGAATATTTTCCTTATGGACTTCTTTGCATTTTTCCTGGAAAAATAACAGGAGTCAAAAACTTATTTTTGATTTTATGATCTTAGGGAAACTGCTCTGCTTCAATACAATATAATAGCATTATTTTTTATTTATTTTATGTGTGATCAACTACAAAAACACCAATAATAAAAGTACAATTAAAAGTTTTCTTCTTTAACATCTTTGCTCTTTCTTAATCTCTGGTCATTGTATTTGTTGAATTTCATGGTAAAAAGAAGATTGCAGTTTTTACTCATGTTAGTATCACAGAGCCAGTGTAGTGAGCTGAACTGCTACTGAATACATTAATCCTCTAATTATCATTTGAAGCACAGGTAAATTTTTCAATATGTGTTTGAATAATTGTAGCTACTATTCCTACAGCTGAAAATACATTTGGTATTGGGAAGTTGTGTTATCTGAGAGATAATTTTGAAAAATGCACTTTTAAACAGTCATATTTATACAGACAGGAAAACTGAAGAACCATATTTAACATTAATTTTGTTTTCTTCACTTTTCTGGGTGAACTTCAGGCCATAGTGAGATTAATAAGAAAATACACCTTTACTGTGGTGAGATCAGGATTTCATCTCATATCTTTCAGTGCCTAACCTAAAATGATATTTTCCATGTGCAATTTTGTTAGTTACTAGAAAGGGAGAGTACAATTCTGACATACAGCAATTTTTTTTAGAGTTCTGACTGGGTTTCTCCTCTAGTAATTTGAAGTATTTGAAGAAGTTGGTGAGTATTTAATAGAGGAAGATAAGTATGAATGCCACGAAAACAAACCTGTTTGCAAGTAGATATTGTAAGGGGAAGATATGAAGGATGTGCATACTCAGTTGTTTGTGTAAGAAACTAATTTCTACTTTAGGCATCACTCGTGTAGATTTCCTTTCCATTTCACAGAAAATTTGAAAAGTAAGATAAATTGAGGAAAATGTAGAGCTAAGAATGGTGGTTAACTTTGGTTTGGTTTCAGCTGTGGGTGGCTGAAGTGATGTAGGGGAACTTAAAGTGGTGGATTGACTTAAAGTGAAATAGAGCAGGCTGGGGTAGAAGCATTCTCCTGGTGGTAATACAGTGCCTTTTTTTTCCCTTTTTTTTCCATTTCCCAAGTCCAGTTCTTGCATCTGCTCAGGAGTTCTGCTGGGGCTTTTGCCTTCAGGTCATGCCTTGCATGGCCCCAAGGCACATCATCCTGGGTGGCCTATGGATATGACTGAGGTGAGAGCCCTTGTCTGAGGGTGTCTCATCCAGGCATCTTTGGCCAGAAGCAGTGTGGAAATGCACTTGGATCTAAGTGAACTGAGGCTTTAAAGAGAGGGGAACAAACAGCACTGAGTGTGTTGGATGGTCCTGCAGAGCTGGTCATTTTTGGTAAATGAAATGTATCAAGGATAGTGGAAATTTAAGGAGTAGAATTCAAGAAGTGTTTTTTTTTCCAAATCTCATATATCCAGTTTCTAAGCAGGATCCATACAAGTGCCTAGAGAGACAAAAAAAAAACAAAAAACCATACAGAGTTAAAAGATACTTTAGATTGGGTAACCTAAAATAATGAAGTTCTGGAACATTAAAGCTTTGAGCAAATTAAAGCTCCACCAAGTGGACACAGTCTAAAGAATTTGAGAACTTTGAAATAATAGATTTCATAGAGTAAAAGAGAAATATTGACTAGCAATGACAACAGTGACAGTATGGTGTAGGAAAATGCCCTTTCTTGGCTGATCTGAACCAACTTGATGCATTTTTCAGCATCTACAGAATCAGAACAGTTGGGTTCTTTTGGTTGTGTGAATGCTCCAGCCCAAATACGTTATTCATACCGATTACATTTGCATATAAGTTATATTTGCCTTTTCCAGATGTCCGTTTATGTTTGTTTAAATCATGAGGTCATTCCATGAAATGAACTGGACCTAAAAATATAGAGAGAAGACTGTTTGGAAAAGTGAGATTTAAAATATCTTATAAATTTTCCCATTTTGTGGAATATTATGCAAGCAGGAGCACAGCAGTGTGGAGGCACTCTTCAAGAAAGCTGTGTCCATTGCTAACAGTTCATTAAACAATATATTATATAACAAAGCTTCATTTGTTTCTATTTCCCAGCCAAGCCAATTTTCCCATTAACAAGCATGTTCTCCTTCTGAATACATTCAAATGTACCATTTTCAAAGACAGCATCATTGCTTCTCTTTTTGTGTTATGTTAAGATCCCAAGTCTTTCTGGATTGTTTTGTCATTTACTCTAGCATTGAAGATTTTTAGAATGCCCTGCTCAAGGCAATGCATATTCATAAACTGAGCCAACAAGGAGGAACTGAATTCTCAAGTTTTATGTTATTGCATTTACATAAATGTTTAACAAGCAATAAACTTTTCTTATGCACAAATGGAGACTACCAACTAGCCACTTGAGTTCAACAAAGATTCTTCAAATGTGTACTTAATTCATTTGAGACTTTTAAAATCTTGCTCAAGCCTGAAGAAATTCTGGTTTGTTCATGCTGCAGCCAATCACTACATACATTAAACATTTACTTCAGTGCTTGGTGAAATAAATTTAATCCTATACAATTTGAGATTGCAGCCTTGGTAAAGAAATTGAGCAGCAGCATATCAGAACACACATCTGGTGAGCTACTCTGGCCCCTTTAAAGCAGAATTTGCAAGGAAAGGCTGCATGAGAAGAAAATTGAGAGTTTAGCCAAAGCTCATGGTCAAAGCTCAATAAAGAATTGTCTAGGAGTATAATGATATAACATGCAATAAAAGGAAACCACCAAAATTCAGTTTCATGCTGAGCTTCTCCTGTTGATATACCTACCAGAAGCAAGAGAATCTGATGGCATCATGTGAGAATTGTATTAATTAGAGAAAGAGGTATCTTGTGTTCTTTCTTAACATGGAACAGATGATATTATGTGAACTGCGCTGTATCTGTCCATTCATTCCCCAAAGAAATACGGATCACAAGCACAAAAATATATCTGCAAGCTTCCCCAGGCAAAATATTTTGGTCCACAAGATACAAAGGAGGCAAGATACTTTTCAAGTCAGAGAAAATGCACCAGAACAACGGAGTGGGGTTTTTTTGTTCCATTGTTCCACAGTCTTCCAGATACAGCTTCTTTAGAGATTAGTGTGCTGTTTCTTCCATTTTCTTGTCAGTAGCAGCTGTTACTTGAATATATCAAGAACAGACTTTTCTGACATTTATTTGAACTAGATCTACTTTAAAATCTGTTGTAAATCAGTAGGCTAGGTTCTCGTCAGGCTGTGTCTGGAGCCCTAATGCCTGCTTTTGCAGACAGATGCAAAATTTTGAACAGCAGAAGTAGAAACACAGGCAGACTGGGTGGGATGGGGCTCTGAGCAGCCTGGTCCAGTGGGAGGTGCCCCTGCCCATGGCAGGGGGTTTGAACTGGGTGATCTTTAAAGTCCCTTCCAACCCGAGCCACCCAGTGATTATATGCTTCTCCTACTGAAGGAGAGTTTTATGATTGTGTGGTATTTAGAAAATACGTGTGTTTTCTGCTGGTGGCAAGATTTGGTACATTCAGCTCTGTTGAAACAAATGGCCAAAATATTCTAACTACCCAGTTTTGCATAAATTAGAGGAACTTACGGAGCAGAAAAGCACAGGGTCATAAAAATGTTTCCCTTTGTGTATTAAATCACAGCGCTGCCACTTTTTCCTGACTGCATTTTCAAAGTGAAGTGGGAAGCTGTCACTATCCTTGCCTTGCATTCTGTGTTGATATTTTTAAAAAAAGGCTATCTGTTATAAAACAAAATGGGCATTCAAGTGACTGTTAGAGCAATTAACTGGGCTGCTGATTGATAAACAGATCAGTTTTTGTTGAAAGCTGTAATTAAAGCTGTGAGTCCGAAATATATGAGTCAGGATACATTTTTTGAAAAATCATCCATTTTCCATTGCACATGAACTTGTGCATAATAATCTGACAGAAATGCTGACTTCTTCAAAATTCCATTATTTCCTTTCCCTTGAGTGGCATAATTTTTATGCCATATTAGCCTTGTACCACTACTTTTCAGTCTCACCCTGTGTCATAGTTATATGGATATTTAGTTGAATTTGGGCTGATTAAAGGATAGCCAGATTGAAAACATCTCTCACTTGTGATAATATTTGTTTGACGTCTGAACTTCAACATTCAAATGGAAGGAATTTTGCAGTGCATTTTATTTATTAATTAATGTTTAAAAAATCAAATGCTTTTCAGTAAACCATATTTTTGTCATTTATATGATAAACCCTGCCAAATCTTACTGTGGTGTTCTTACCTTTTTTGGTGGGGAAGATTGTCTATACACCAATGATATATATATATATATATATATATATATATATATATATATATGTATATATATTTCACATTGTTTGGCATTAGGGGACAAAATGTAGGAACAAGCAAAATAAATAGCAATATGTTGACTTTTTCCTCTGGGAACTACTTAAACATGCTGCCATTTAAATTGCTAGAAGACTTCAAAATTTTGAATATGCAGTCATATGTAGTGATGAGTTTAAACTCGAAGTTTAAAGTTTTGTTTTTATAAAAGCAAAGCTGTAATATCCGTGGGGATTTACCTAGCATGGCAGTTAGGCTGTTTAGCATTCTCAAATAGATTGTGTAGAATTTGACAGCTTTAAAGTTACTTTTATCCTTGTTTTCATTTTATTTTGGAGAAACTCAAATACTCCATTGAAAAGTTGTTATGAAATTATACACATTGAAATTACTTAGGTTCTTTAGTTGATGAATTTTTCTTGTATAATATTGTTGGATTTTTGCTGACAAACTCTGCCATTTGTTTTCAGGTTTTCTTAAAGTTGATTGATCTTTCTTTCTTTTATTTCAACAGCTTGATGAAGTTGTCCGCCAGAGAAATCTGCATAGTTTGGAACTTTTCCTTTCATGTGCACAGAAACAGTTAAATGTTTTATTAAAGGAAGAGCCAACCCCAGCAGAAAACAGAGACTGACATTCTCAGTGCTGATGATACAGTGTGATTTGTGAAGCTGCAAATCTCCATCTAGCAAATGATGAATATATTCCAATCATTTTGGATTGTATCATTGAGTCAAGATTGATCTGAAATTCTTGATAGAAATGTTTGTGGACGATGTTCTTCTATTTATTTATTTATTTTACTACTATTATCAGATAGCAAATAGGAGAGGGAAAAAAATCCTTGGGAAAAAAATTGGCTTATTTAGGATTTGTTTTATTTAGGATTTTGCTTTCATTAGATTTTCTAATAGCCCGTGTCAAAAGTTTCCGTGTTATGTCTGAAATTATGACATTTCCCTGTTATGTCTGTTTTAAATTTGGCACCATGTGTTAATGTGATTTACCATTATTTTTGATATTTTAAAAAATGGAGACAAACATTTAGTTGATTATAGGTACAAATCCATCTCTATTTCCAAAGTATCTACCCGTAAAGTCCATTGCCTCAGGTGAACCTGAGTAGCTTATTATTTCTTACTGCTTTTCTGATGTAGAAAGGAGAATCAGTACTGAAACATAATAGTGTTGTCAGGCATTTCTTAAATAGTTTATAAACAAATCCAGTTCTAGGAACAGAAAAAATTTAAAAACTAAACAGTACATCTGTTTAGGGTAGTGTAAAACATTGCCATGACCAATGTATAGTATGTATTTTATTTCTGTTTTACAGAGCTAGTTCAATTCCAAAAGTCATTTTCTCATGAAGTTACGATTAATGTGACTGACCTCAGTTTCAGGAAGAAGATGTATGTAATTATGTGGAGACTGATACTCACTGCCTCAGTGGAATTTCTGACAGAATAAGGAATGCAGATTGCTGACCTCACATGCCCTTTCGAAGTGCATCCAAGGAAGTAGAAAAACTCCGCACTGACATTATTGGACTTTGGATCACTCATAGGTCTTTCTAGTCTTGCTGACAGCAGATGGAGTGGAATTTCTGTGCCTACAGGCTATTGATTGTAGAACTGGGGCCTTAGTTGTAGAAGATCTCTGAATGAAATAAGGGAAAATAAGTGTTCATGCTTAGGTACGCAAATAAACTAAGAATGATCTCTCTTACAGTGAGCTTATGGACATTTTTTAAGTGTGGTTCTTCTTATTTGGAGGGGTTTTGGGTTTTTTTGTTAAGCTGATTTTTTTTCATCAGCACTTTCCAAAAATTGCTTTCTTATAGTAATAAGGAACGCCAAATGGTTGCACATGTATTGGCAGTATGAAATATGTATTGCACAAAGTTAAGGTTTTTATTTAAATCTTTTCCTGTGCTTCATTTTTGTAGTCAAACCCGAAGGTTTTGTCTTTTGTATACACAAAGGTTTACTGAAGAAGTAAACAGGGCTGGTTTTACTAGATGATGACCTTACTCTGCAAATGGATTAAAATCCAGTCTTCTATTTGATACTTGATTAACTGATCAGTTTCCATTTTTTCTGGCTGACAGGAAAATCCTGTAGTGTTAATGAGTTGCCTACTCATTTTTGTTCCTAAACCACTGAAATTTTTGTCTCTGTAACTGCACCAAAGATGACATAGATGTCCCTATGGGATTTTTTTAATGTCAAGGTACTGTAAAAGGAAATTGATTGACTAGTGCTTTCTCCCAATGTGTGTTTAATTGTGGAAATGTGGTATAAGCAGATTCCTAAATTAACTTCCTGATTTTATTCTAGGCCTGAATACATGAAACAATATTCCTTTTTTACTAAAGACATCCAAGTGTTCCCCTTCAAAGCCAGACCCTGTTTATCAGCCTTTTCCTAATTAGGAGAGATTTGTATTCTGACTTGCAACACTATGTAAAAGCACTTTTTGAAGAAGCTTATGATTGGAATCAGTAAGATTTCACTGGCAACTGTGATGTATCTTTCCCATTAGATCATGTGTTATTTAATTTCAGCTCTTGAATATTGTGATGGTCACACAGAACTGTACGTATTTTTTTCTTACTTCTGACAGTTGTAGTCCGTTTATCTTCCTTTCTGTCCTGCAAGCAAAATTACAGACTAGACCACAGATATGCAAGACCAGATTGGGAGCTGGGGTTACATTCAAACTCTAAGTCTCAGAGAGGAAATTTACTTATACCACAAAACCAGACCTATTCAGTAGGTGAGCTTTGCAGCATACAATAACTTCCACCTTCTCCATACTGCATCCAATGCTTTAAAGCTTAGGGATATTTTTCATTATTTCTGTCTAACCATAAGAGAGTGCAGTTTGTGGAAATTTGGGAGAAGGGAATCAGAATCACAGAATGGCCTGGATTGGAAGAGGCTTAAAGATCACTGAGTTCCAACCTCCTGGTACAGGCAGGGACACCTTCCACTATCCCAGATTGCTCCAAGCCCCATCCAACCTGGCCTTGGACACTTCCAGGGATGGGACAGCCACAGCTTCTCTGGGCACCCTGTGCCTGGGCCTGACCACCCTCAGAGAAAGAAATACTTTCCTAATATCCAATCTGAACCCGCTCTCTTTCAGTTTAAAGCCAGGGACAAGTTTGCAAAATCCACTCTTTTTCTTTAAATTATTTTTTTATTCCTACAAACAGACTGGAGAATGACATAAAAGAGAAAATACCATGTTGTATGTCTGTGGGATAGAAATTTATCTGCCTCTGAGGCGTGGCTGGTAGTATTAAATATTGTCAAGACTGTACTGGGAGGAAGAAGAAACCCTGGTACTAATCCTCAGAATCAAAATGCAAGAACTAGAACATAAACAAAGCTCATATAATAAACATTTTATCTCTATGCTCATATACTTCATATTAGAATTAAACCATAAATTTTGTTATATATATACGTGGGTTGGACGGCGTGTATTAGAAGTGACTTAAAAAGCAGGGCAACAGTAGATCCAGTGTTTAGAATGCTGTTTTTCCTTGGTGTTAGTCAGGGTCACTCTATTTTATCACTTTTACTCCATGGTCTAGAACTAAGCAGTTCTTGTGATTTGTGTGATTTGTAGCCAATAGTTTACACAGAGTTCATGCTGAATATTGTGACATCATAAAGTCTGACACATTCATGTTATATTTCTGTAGATTTCTCTTAGCTCCTTATCTGCTTCCACTACAGGATTCTAGATTGACTCTGAGACCACGTGTGCAAGTCATGCACAAAAGGGAATAATGGGCAACATTTTTTTATACTGTCCATATGGGAATATTTGAATTTTTGCCTTGCTGTAAGAGTCTCATTGATAAATTACCCTTGAATTCCTTGAAGCATTGAATCCCTTCACTTCCATCATTAGGTGGCAGAACAAAGAAGAAGCAGTAGTCATTCCAGAGGCTGAGATCACTTTAGTATTTTGAATTTTTTATGCATCTTTACATTGGCTTCTGATCAGAAGTGTGTCATGTCCTGCCAGCTCAGTAAATGGTGAGGTTAATTCCTGACTGTCTGGAATCATCCAGGCAGACATGACCTTAGAGAGCCTAATTCCTTTTCACAGCAAAACTCCCTTACAACACTCGAGACCCTGCTCTTCCTCTACTTCCTGTGCCCACATTTGAGCTTACAGATTTTTCTCCACCCCTTTGATGAAGGGAACATGAGTAAGATTTTGTCTTATTTCCTGGAAGGACTTAGCCACCAATATAAATTGTTTATCAGGGGGACTAAGTGAATTTATGTTCACTTTCAGATCACATGCAGTGTCATTGCAGTTATCAAATGGACTTTGTTTAGGTACTGCAGACTCCATTGCAGGAGTGATGTAATGTGTGGATGAGATTGTTTTAAATTTTTTTTATGTGGACATCCTGAATACTGTATAGAAAGATTTTATAACATCGGCGGCATTCTTTTTTTCATCAATGGTCCATAAATGTGTCAAAGAAACACTGGAAAACACTTTTTACATGGGTACAATTCATGTCTTGCATTCAATTTAATGTTCTTGTGGGAATTGACAAAAAAAATGTTTTCTTTTCTGTGCTCTGTCCAAGAATATTGTTCTTCTGAGGCTTCAAGAAGATTCATCTGCTACCATTGTTTTCATTGTTTATTAATTTTAAAGCCCACATAAAGCTAATAGTCCTGCTGCTGAATTAGAGTCATATTTGAACAGTAGAACATAACAGAAAAACCACCCAAGTTGTACTATCAAGTTTTGTGTTTGCTGAGTTGCTCAGGTTTTGTATTTGTTTCACCATTCAGTGATACATCATTCTTGTGATAATAATTATAGTTATCATCCTATATAGTAGTAATAATAGCAACAATATTTTTCTGTAGTAGATGTGGTATTGATGTTTTATCCATGTCTTAAATGCTGTGTAACTGTAACCATTTTAATATATATCAAAGATTCACATTTGCTTATATTGCCTATAATTCCACACATTTCAGACTTACACAACCAGCATTTTTAGATGCTTTCCATTTGTCTGGAATTAATAATACAATTACTGAATAAACACTCAAACTATTCTTTTTTTTCAGATGACAATTTTAAACAGTGTAGCAGTGAACACTAGTAAGCCAGTGAGATGTTTATAAATACACATATCCTAAAAATATGATTCCCAACAAAATGCTAGAAATTTATCTCTTTTTTTTCAGATTGGATGATTAATCTGTAGTAATAGGTATAGAACACTATCTGACGTCCAAATCATTGGCATTTGGTCTCTTTCTTCATGTTGAAATATTTTGTCTTCTCTCAAAAGCCAAAGCAAATGGCATTTTTTTTCAGCAATTGTCTATTGATGGTCATCAAATGCCTCTCTGTATTTAAAAAGAAACTTGTCCTAACTGACCCCTTCTACACAATGCTGTAGGAGGCTCTTTAACCCAGGGAGAAACAGAACTGTTTTTGCTGAATGAATTTTGAAAGATATTCCAGTTCTTCTACTCCTACCAAATTAGGGCACTGGTTAAGTGTTCACGTCAATGTTGCTGCATAAATTTTCCAGAAGATGGCTGGTCATGGTGATACATGGTCAGTCTCTATTTTTGTGGCAATAATTTTAAATATTCCATTACTTGAACATCCCAGTCATTTATTATGATCATAGATTACATATTTAGAGCATGATTGGGAAGCAGTGGCTCCCAGGAAGTCAGCAGGAATTCTGCTGGTGGTTATTTACAGGTCAAAATGTCTTCCACATTTCTTGCAGTTGTGACCATGATGAATATGATGCATACAGTTCTGTCTTTGTGTGGTTCTAGAAATATACCAAGAAATTAAGAGCAGATTTTGTGATCAGTTCTTTGAAGAAAACATCAGCACTTTTTCTGTTGGTGGTGTTGGCTGGAGATGTTGGTGAAGGAAAAACTTGTGTGTCATTATTACTACACTGCTGCTAAGAAGGTCTAATAAAATAATATGACGTGAGAATTTGTACTTCAAGATTACATCCAAAAACCTAAAATAAAAATAAATTAAATCAATTTTAAAAACGGAAGCTTATGCTTTTTAAAACTTGGAAGCATTGCAAGGCTGATGCTCAAATACCTTAGTCTGACAAATGTCAATATTTCCTGAGCATCTTGAGCAGAACGTTTTAGGAGCTTCTATGGAACTTGCTGGGGATACCACTGAATCAGGATGATGAACTCTCTTGCTTGAGTGCCACAGTAGTATTAGAAAGAAAGTTATATACACAGTGGAGAAGTCTTTATGTGTCTGCCAAATAAAATGGAAGAGGATCCAGGTGTTGTGTCATAAGATAATGTATCATCTAATCATCTTCTTGGGAATCAGAAATGTGTTTGATTCTCAGATTAAATAACTTTTCACTTGCACAGATTGAAACAAAAATTCCTGTAAGCTCCAGACAGCAAGTGCAGAAGGTCTACAAAGGACTGATGGTTGCACAGGAATGACAAGACTACTCAGAAGAATACAGATTATCACAAGCAGGGTTGCACTCAATTTGGCTATATCAATATGTAATATAAATGTCATAGTCACAATGTGTGTGCACATTTTCAACACGATTTTTCTTCAACAAATTTTTCAAAGAACAGGTGAGTTGAAGGTAGGGATGACGCAGTCATCCTCCACAACATTTAAGAAATATTCAAAAGAATGATTGATTGATT